AGAGGGTCGCACAGCTCTGCACCTCTGCCTACCCACGGCACACAGTCTGTGGACCAGTGGCACCCACAGAGCATCACTCAGCCTCACCACACTTATTTTCCAGTAAAGAAACCCAACTGCTGGGCTGTGTACCAGACTCCTGAAACGCTGCTGTTGGCCTGATCTACCCCTGGAAAAGCTGAGCAGCCCTGAGCAAGTCCCCACAATAAGGGTCAGTCACCACCAACGAGCATCTGTGCTGCTGCCAGGCAGCATCAAGAGGGGACAAGCCAATTCGGATGCAAGAACATCACACCCTGACTGGGATCCTGACCCTTACACCCCAGTGGCTCGCAGCAACAGCTGAGAGGTGAGCAAGCAGAGCTGGGACGTGAAACAGCTGGGATCAACTAAGAGCACAGGGTGATGATGAAATCTGCCACCTCCACCGCACCCAGGTGACCCAGGGTTGAACGCTCCCTGTCAAGGCATGAGGCTCCTGCCTTGGGACCCACATCTTGCACACTGACACCCATTTTTGCATTGCCATCAGCAGTTTGAACTTGAGCAGCATCTGCCCGCTGGCACAGCGGGGTCATGCAGGAAGATCTGAGGCAGCCTCGTCGCCCCCACACTTGCCAGCCCGTGCCTTGTGCAGGCAGCAGTCCTGGGGGGCTCTCAGCGGTTCTGGGGGGCTAGCAGCCCACTCCCCTCCCCTGGGGGCACATGGAGGCACTGGTCCACCTCTGGACTCGCTCCGCCCATGGGACATAGATTGCATTTACAGCTCCACTCACTGCAGTGCCACTCTACCCCACGGCACTCACCGCAAAGGTACATTGAGCCCCCGCTAGAAGATTATAAATCACTCCGGAGGGCCTAATGTTTTCTGAAGCATCTCATGTGCTTCCAGAAACGAGAACTCCCTCATACTCCATCTCCTTTGTTTCACCCAGAGATTGCAACTGTGACAGACCCGATGCCTCTCTCCTCGCTCGGGCAGAGCTCTGCTGCCTGTTTGTCTATAAAATTAATGCTGGCCCCCGCAGATCAGGTGGGGGAGGACCCAGGGGAGAGGAGATTTAGCGCTGCTCCATAATTAGCTGGGAACCTAAGCCCCCTCCCCAGAGCTGCCTTCACCCCGTTCTCGCGTTATCACTCCTTCTCACCCAGACCAGCTGCTCTGGTGATTAGATGGTTGTTTTCGGGGGAGGGAGGCAGAAGTCGTGACTAAAAGCCTAGAACGATGTGTTATTTTAAAAGGCATGTTGGTGCAGTGAAATAAACTGCAATTGCTTTCAGGGAGAGAGGGAGGGGGAGGCAGCGGGGAGCCTGGGGGAGGCGGAGGGGTGTGCCTGGTGCCCACGGGGGCCACAGACGAGCAGGAGGAAAAAGTGTTCAATTCCTGCACAAAGAAGGACGACAGCATCTCCCCCTCCTCAGCCTGCAGGAAGACGGATAACCGTCCCTGCTGCTCAGCTCTGAAGCAAGCTGGCATTGCCCTGGGGCCACTGCCGAGAGAAAGGCAGAGAGAAGGGAGGAAGAAGAGCCCAGAAGCCCCTTTCTTCCCCTTCCTAACTGCGACCCGCAGGAGCGGTCCTTCCCTCGATGCCCCGCGGTACCCCAGCCGGCTGCGAGCGGGAGCCCATCCCGATGCTGCTGAACTCTCCCCAGGACCTGTCATCACCGTGTGTGCCACGGCGGCTCTGCGGGGCCAGGTCAGGACACCTGAGTGAGCCTCAGCACGGCAGCTTCCCTTCAAGATGACCTCTCTCAGCCTCATCGGGAGGGATGCGATCAGTGTATTTAGGGCTGGGCATAGCCATAGGTCCGTCCTATTCCACAGCATCAGCGAGCAGCTGCCGGGAGTGTTTTATGCCGTGCACGCGAGTGGGATCATCCATGCGCCATGGCACAGTGCCGAGGACCCACGCTGACCCCTCTGCCAGAGCCATAACTAACGTCCCGCTCCCCTGAGCGCAGCTCAAAGCACAGTTGTCCTTTCTAAATGCACCCTGTCATAAAAAAGCTCTCCTTTTGCCCCTTCCAAAACTGCTGAAGCCCGAGGCACACGCTTACTCCTGGCTCAGTGACAGGGTTAAAATTTGACATCTCTAGGAACATCAGGGTTAGAAATGCAACCATTTCATCGATGTCTACTCTTCCAGTGAGGCGCCCATGGGCTTCTTTTTATTTTGGCTGTACCACGATCTATTTGAAGGTTTCTCAAATGCTTTCTTTATCAGCCTCCCTCTTCCTTTGAGCCAGTATCTGGATTTATGGGTGGAAAATATGAAATATGGTTGGATGTATTTGAAAAAAAAAAAACCCATCTCCAAAACATCTCTGAAATTTGTTTTCTGTAACTTGGGTGGCATAAACTGAATTTATGGTGGTCAGAAGCGCGAGTAAGATTGTTGGAATGCATCTGTGATGAGAGGCTAAATAATGCAGGCTTCACATCTGCAAGGCCAAAAGCTCTGACCTGTGCTTCCTCTACATACACAGAAATGTGCGCACGTACCCCTACACAGAAGGAAACGCTCAGCAGGCGTGTACCACCGCCAGGACAAACAGCAGACTGAGTGGAAGAGGGCTGTGGGAAGGCAGAAACGTGCCCTCGAAGGGCTCTGCCAAGCAGCACCCGGCCAGTGGTCGGGCAGAGGGTTGCACGTGCCAGGCTGAGTGCGATTGGAGAGGGAGGAACAGAAAAAAAAAAAGTCATCTTCCATTGCAGCATCTCTCCTCGGTATTCCAGCTCAGCTGACTGACATGCAAATTAGTTTAATTATTTCTTCTTCTAAAATAAATTATATTTTGCAGTGGCTGCAATATGTTGTGTCAGGCAAAATTACATTCAATATTTTTAAACTAATTGATGTCAGCCTTGAGAAAACCTGATTGACAGCAGCGAGGAAACTAGGCTGCTACCTAAACGCTTTCCTAAATTAAAATTAAACATGCCGTTTTTCTGCATTTCCTCCAGGAGTTGGAATGCTATTAATCTGAAAAGACTGAGGAAAGAGACATGGAAAATACACAGAACAAGGGGGAGACTCTGGAAACACAGCAGTGCAGTACGGGAGCTCCAGGCTGATGACTGGCAGCTGCCTTTGCCAACATGGGCTGAATTATTTTGGAGCTGCTGGAGCCTGCCGGGGGTGGGAGACAGAGTTCTGCCCATTGCTTCCACGCTGCAGCGTCTGCGCTTTCCTCGGTGCTACAAACAGCACAGCTTGGGGCGAGCAGGGAGCATGGCATGGACCCTCATGCCGAGGTGCTGTGGGACAGACAGTGCACGGACGGGACAGGCAGCGCTGGGATGGGATGGGATGGGATGGGATGGGATGGGATGGGATGGAACGGGCAGTGTCCTGGCTTTGGAGCATGTCCTGCTGCATGGCAACACTGAGGCCAAGCCTCAAATGCTCTGGCTAAACCTTCAGCCACATCCCAAAGTATTTTTTCTTAATTTAGTTAACCATGAAAGTAATCTGAACAGTACAACATTCTTCTCTTAAACATTCACATGTAAAACACCAACAACTTGTCCTCTCCCCAGGTTCCGGACAGCCGACTGCCGGCAGGATGGACACCGAGCAGCTCTGGGCAACTGCTCTCAAGCACTGGAAGCTTTGCAGCAGAAGCTCACAGTGATGGGAAGGGATGGGAGATGCTCAGCCACCCCCGCTGCGGCAGTAAATAAGGGAATCTGTGGTTGCTGCTGCACTGGGATCCAGTCCTTACCCTGCCAGACCCTCACACAACCTCACAATAAAGCACTTTCCATTTTTACATCCAAACTTCTACTGTGAAGCTCCAAACCTGCAGCACAGGTAGCATTTGCGCTGCTGCCTGTACACACAGCCATGTATGTAGTGATACCACCCGCAGAAAGGTGCTCTGCAGCTTCCCTGGGGGTGGAAGCACAGTTTGGGGAAAGCCCAGCAGACCGTGGGCTGCTCTTTGTGGCTGCAGCACCTGGGGAAACACAGCTCACGGATGCTGTCGGGTGCAGTGTACGACCCACTCTCTTCTGCCTCCAGCCCAGATTGCTATAATACTCTATTCAAGTTTTTTGCATTGGTAGGGAAGCCAGAAGAGGCAAGAGTGGAATTTAATCCTCACTATCTCAGCGAATTGGGAGAACAAAATGCAGATCAGGAGGGTAGGATGGGCCACTTCGCCTTCCAGCACTCGCGCCGTGGCTGTGAAGCACCGGGTGGTTGTGTAGATGTCAGCGCAGCTGCCTGACTGCGAAGCGGAGCGCTGATGGCACAGCCGAGGCAGAGGCATGCCAGGGGTACGGCTCGTCGGACACAGACGGCTACAGCAGAGGCTGGAGCCGAAAACGTGGCTCCCAGCTGAGGGGAAGCAGCAGTTAAGCCAAGTAACATATAAATGGCTCTCACCTCTCCTGAGTCCTGCCCGAACTCAGCAGCATGAGAGTCATTAAATCGCATCCAAACACAATGCTCTGATTAAAGCCAGTCTCCAGCAGGAAGATTTATCATCTCAATTACCAGCAGTGGACACAGCAGTCAAGGCCTCATCATTTTACATGAGCAAAGAGGAAAACAGGAAGAGAATCGCTAATATTAGCCCAAGGAAGGTAAACAGCTTGTGAGCGAGATGAAGATTTATCTCTGGAAACGCTTGGCCTGGTCCCAGGCCAGATTTTGCTGAACAGCCCCCATGCTTCCTGCTGGCTGCCGCGATGCAAGGCCAAATATTCTGCTGGTCCCCAGCCGGCCGAGGCAGCTCCCGCTGGGGAGAGCCTGTTCCGTGGGGGGAGACCTGCTCCCGCTCCTCCGCAGCCCGGCCAACCTCAGGTGCCGCCTGGCACCTTCTGCGGCTTCTCTGACTGCCACTCAGATGCACATACACTCTCTCTGCTTATCCGTAGGTGGGACACGCACCCCTGGACACACGGTCTCTGCTGCGGCAGGACCGGGGCCCGGACGGGGCTGGTAAAGGGGGGGGGTG